CCCCCCCCCCAATCAAAGCCTGTTCCCCTGTCCCCCTCCACTACTAACACACTGCCCGTCCAGCATACAGCAACACCACCCGTCGCCGGCCAGCAACACTCATTCAACCACCGTCCCCTATCAAGGACGTCGGTCTCCAGATCGTACCGCCGCAGCAGACGGCACCACAAGGGCTCCGAAATGCGGAATCGGTGGGCAAGCGACAGAACCCGACGAGCAGTACCTTTCACGGTCGTAAGCAGGTGGATATCGCCGAACGCGACCCACAGGCAGACTTGAGGCAGACAGCGGCGGTCTCAGAAGCTCGCCAGCCGCTCACAACGACATAACGACAGTAATCTCAGCCAGCCGGCACTCCTCACCCTATTACCCTCCCCTGTCGATGACGTCACTCTCGAGACCGAATCGCCGCAGTACATAGCGGGCGGAACCAACCGAAACGGGATCGCGGTCGGCGGGCGGATGAGCCCGATTGGCAGCAGGTGCCTCAGTCGTCCACAGGTGGATGTAGCCATTCCCCACCCACAGATGGGCAGCGATGGTGTCGTTGAGTCGGAAACCGCTCACAATCACGCGACGATCGTCTGTCGCATCAGCAGCATTCAGATCGTCCCCATCATTGCGCCAGTCGACAGCGATGCCCAAATCGTCTGTAATGCCCTCGGTCACCAGTCGGCGATAGCGAGGGTCGTCACGGCCGATGTGTGCGAAGAGCACCCTCCTATCAACCACCCCCTCTCCAATCGACCAGCTGACGCGCAGCGTGTACAGCAGACGTGTCGAGAATGAGCGGTAGAGCCTGACGCTGCAGCGGATGGCGGGATCAGTCCGCTTGTAGCCCTCAGCATAGCGGTGGCCGCCAGGCAGCTCACCCAACGGCACCACACGAAACGACTCATTGCCAATCCGATAGTGTCCGTTGCCGGTTTGCTGCAGCACCAGGCTGGTCCCTCTGTTTCTGAGCTGGTGTCCGATAATCTTGTAGATGGCCACGGTGAGTGGCAGCTGATGGAAGTTAAAGGCTGTGGGCAATATGGCGGCCGACAGACGAAGAGGACGCGTCGCATTGGGGGTCAGCCGGTAGATGAATGCCATCCGAAGGAACCGCCCCATCGCCCGCCACTCCTCGCCAGTGCCCCGCTCCAGCACGTAGACCACCTTCAAGCCGGCCTCCGAATCACCGCCAATGTCGAAGGACAACACGTCCGCCAGGCCGAGACGACTGATGGCCTTGTCGATGTGCTGCTGGACGGCGTTGAGCAGGGTGCTGTTGACGGTCTCCGCAGTGTGGCCCAGCAGCTCCTGTTGCCGAGTGCGGGTGACGATCTGCGAGCGGAGAGCGGCTCGTTTGGCACCGTCAGTCGCCATGGCCATGGCGGCCATCTTGCTGATGGGCAATGACAGGTCAAAGAGGTCGGCGGGCTGGAAGAGGGCAGGGCTGGGCGGACGGGACGAGGAGTGGGCTGCACCAGTGGGCTGCATCGTGAATGTCCTGAGGTCTCAGCGAGGCGTGACGTGAGTGATCTGCAGAAAACATTGAATACACGAAGCATTTCGATGCTTTCCCGGCCTCTCTGACTGTCCTCTCACCTTTGCTGAGTGGTTTCACAGCTCACGCTTTCAGACTCGCCATCGGGGGGGGCGGTCGGTTCGCGAGCTTTGGGCGCTGGGAAGTGTCTGAGATGATCAAAGACCTTCTGATGATATCGATCCATTCAGATGTCGTCATCTGCTCTCTGTGGCCGACGCTGATCTGACGAATTGAGGTGCGAGGATCCAGCAGGAGGGGCGCGAAGGAACCAGCGATGACAGTGCGTGTGGTTGCTGTGTGGTTGACAATGTGGCAGATCTGTGCCTCACAAGGCTGGAAGAATCAGTCCTAAAGGTGTGGGCAGGGAGGGAGGGAAGAGAGCCCAATCAAACAGTGAGTGGTCTCCGTTGTGTGCTGTGTGTGTCTTACAGATGTCGACTGCTGCTCGTGACGGCCCTCTCACATCTAGCAAAGCATCATCCGCTGCCTCAGCTGCTTCCGGTAAGGGTGACGCTGCAAAAGGGAGACTCACGCAGACACATAGGCTTGTGCGTGTGTGTGTGTCTCGTGCTTCAGGTGCCAGCAACGCGTCGTGTGCGAACCAGCAGCAGCAGCAGCATGATCGCCTTCTCAGTGCCGCTGACGTACCTGAGGAGGCAGTGCCGACGGTTGCCGAGCACGTCAGGAGCTATTCGCAGCTGGAGGCCCTCATCGACGCCCATCCCACCCTCCGCACCTCCGCCCTCCTGCTGCCCATTCTTATCCGACTGCTGCCCGTCGTGGTGGAAAGCAGCTTCGGTGCTCTGGTGGAGATGCCCATTCCTCAGCTGGCCCTGGACGTGGCTGCTGCAGTGGCCCCCAGTCATCGCAACGCCCTCAGCCGATTTCTCCTGCCCCTCCTTCTGCGTGTATTGGGTGTGCTGCTGCCCATTGCTGGCCTCGGCTCATTCCTGATGAGGGTAATCCCCCGCCTGCCGCTCCCGGCAGCACTCAGCCACGGCTGCCGCATGGCAGTCGCCATCGAGCAGCTGAGCCGCCGACTGAGGATGCTGGAGCGTGGCGGCGATTGGGCGAGGTGGCGGCCTCATTTGGAGATGCTCTATCACATACGCGGCAAGCGGCCAGTGGTGCTGGGCGATGAGCATTTCGACGCGTTCGGCAGCCGGGAGGCCTTCATCGGCGAGACCGAGGCGGTCCGCCAATGGAGAATACTCAGTGGAGCGATCACTGTCCACCATAGAGGCCAGCAAAGACAGCTGATGTACGGCAACAATGGCCTTCATGGCTGGAGCTATGGCCCCCCCGCCCTCCTCGCCGCACCCAGCCGCCTCTTCCCTCAGGACACATTGGACGCCGCCGACCCGCCCACCTTCTTCGAAGGCAACGTGTACGCCAACTACACATCGGTGGTGGCATTCGTTCTGATCGACTGGCTTCGTTACGGCGAGCACAGCCGTATCACTTTAATCAGAAGCCTGTCGTCTTACTGTCGGGATTCTCCTGCATCTCGGCGTGTGTGTGAGCTGCTCGCGGCCCCTCCCAGCGATGCGGCACAGTGGGGGGCGGGGGCGGCCGTGTTCGACAGGAAGTGGCAGGTGTGGGTGAGGCCATGGCATGAGCGGCTGGTGGTGCTGGGGAGTGAGGTGATGGGCGAGGGGCTCATGGCACTTGTCCGGCTGACGGATTCGGGGCTTCATTCAGTGCATGTGGATATCTTCACGAACGAGCCCACGGTCGCTCACGACCAGGGCGGCTATGTTTCCATCTGGTCGACCGACTCCCCGCGTATACCCTATACCAGCACGCACAGTGCCGTGATGAGTGTGTTGGGGGATCACTTGGGGGGCATGGTGTGGCGGAAGGAGCAGCAGAGGTGAATAGGGGGCAGGACAGATGGGGTGGATCATGGTGTCCTGAGCGGCTTCGCCACCAGCTTATGTGTGTGTGTGTCGACTGTCGTTTTAAATAGGATACAGGAGGGGGACAGAGGGATAGACAGACAACATGTGTTTCCTCTGTCTGCCTGCTGCTGAGTGTGATCCGTTAACTGCACGTTGCGAATGGGCTGTATGGAGTGTGTGAACTAACACTGTGTGTGGTGAGTCCGTGCTGATGTGATGTGCAGACCTTCTTCTATGAACACTGTTTCATGTGGAGGCTGTGTGACTGTTTCGTGGAGGCTGATGCTTGTATGGCTGGTGAAACGAAGCGACTTGTGTCAAGCCATTAAGTCATTGACAAAAGCTATGCCACATACAGTCACTGAGTCTGACAAAAAAGCAATCGCGACCTTCACCCATTCATTCTCAGTCACGTCAGCCATTTAAAGGCACTCCGCCCCCCTCCACTCCTCACACAGTGCCCGGCCAGCATACGGCTACACAACACAAATCGCCAGCCAGCACCACACTCACCCCCTCACCATCCACTTGTCGATTACGTCGGTGTCCAGGACGAATCGCTGCAGCAGACGGCGCCACAGGGGCTCCGAAATGGGGAAGCGGTGGGCGAGTGATGCAGGCGCATCAGCAGCGGATGGCTCGATCGTCCGCAGTACGATAGTGCCCGACCCCATCCAGAGACAGGCAGCGACGGTCTCGCCCGGCCGGAAGCCTCTGACTACCACATAACCTTCTTCTCTCGGATTAGCAGCATTCAGATCGCCCCGGTTAAAGCGATAGTCGACAGCGATGCCCAGATCCTCGGTGATGTCGTCGGTCCTCATCAGACGGCCATAGCGAGGGTCATAATGGCCGATGACCGCACACAGCGCCCTCTTATCGTTCACTCCCTCTCCAGCCCACGCGTAGGCCCTGCCGAGCAGCGTTCGCATCAGGAATGTCGAGAAGGAGGGGCAGAGATCGCCGGTCCAGCTTATGGCGGGGTCGGTCCGCTTGTAGCCGTCGACATAGGGATGGCCGCCCGGCAGCTCACTCAACGGCACCACACGAAACGACTCATCGCCGATCCGATACTGAATGCTGGTCTGCTGCAGCGCCAGGCTGTGTGTGTTGTGTGTCAGCAGGTGGCCGAACAGCCAATAGATTGCCATCGCCAGTGGCAGCTGGTGGAATGCCGTCCTGCTGGGAAGGTGGGCTGTCAGCCACTGAGCCGACAGCACCAGGGGCAGCCCATTGACAGGTGTCAGCCGATGGATGGCGGCCAGCCGGATGAGCCGCCCCATCACAGGCCACTCGTCGTTGCCCTGCTCCAGCACATAGGCCGCCCGCAGCACGTAGCTGAATGGGAGAGGGGCAGTGCGGTCGATGTCGATGAGGCCGGTGAGTGAGTGGCGGGCGAGGGAGCCGTCGATGCGCTCCACTAGCAGAGCGGCCGTGATAATGGACGTGCCGATGGCGCGGGAGGTTTTGCGGAGAAATATCACATCAGGCAGCTGCAGGCACCTCACCACCCGGCCTCGCCACAGCTCGTCGGGCAACGAAGACGCCATCAATCACCACGACTCAGTCAGCACGTGAAAGCGAACTACACTCATCTCACCCTCCATGAGTTGCAAATGCGGACCAAGGCATGCTCGCCCGGATCGGCCTGCGAGCTTGGCGCAATTCTTCCCCTTCAGCCCTTTCCCCCCCCTCTTCTCCGGTGCAACATGGCGATGGTGGGTCTGTGTGACATACACAAAGACGCGCTGTGATGATATCAATCGGCACAGATGTCGGCATCATCGCTCTGGCTGCAGTGATCTGGACGTATTGAGGTGCAAAGGGAGAACAAGAAGGACCGAGGGCATGGAGGATGACAGGGAAATGTGATCTCTCTCTCTCTCTCTCTCTTTGTGTGTGTGTGTGTGTGTGTGTGCGTGTGTGGCAGAACTGCGACTCACAGGCGGTTCTGACCCGATCAAGACGTCGGCATGTTAAACCCGTGGCGATGGCTGAAGGCCTTATTCACGGTGAGCCGAGCGACGAAAGCGCCAGCATGCATACATTCGTGATGCCTGTCGGTCGGCGGGGGTTGCAGACATTGGCTGCGCGTGACGGAGGCGCCAGCTCTGAGGCATCAGCTAGTGTCCCTTCTATGGTGGAACCAGCCGTCAGTGCCGCTAATGTGCCTGAGGAGGCAGCGGTCATCATCGCCGAGTACGTCAAGAGCTATTCGCAGCTGGAGGCCCTCATCGACGCCCACCCCACACAGTTCAACCCTGCATCCTGCTGCCCATCCTCACACGACTGCTGCCCGTTGTCGTGGAAGGCAGCTTCGGCAGCGTGGTGGA